CTCTTACAGCCCACTCTTCACAGAGCAACAGCTATCTTCTTAAACCACAAGTAGCATTATTTTACTTCATTACCCAGGCTTCTTACTGCATTAGAATAAAGGTCAACTGCTTCTCTAAGAAAAGATGCTTGTTAGATGTGGCCCCTTTGGCTTCGGGAGTGTCATCTTGTACCATGATGATGGGCATCACAAGGCTCCAGATATATTGGACTTTTTGTTTCTTAAACATAACACATTTATTCTCAACTCAGATCTTTCATTATTCTTCCCTCTTCTTGAGATGTCTTTCCCTGGGTCACTGAATTTTTTTCCTCTTTCAGGTCGCAGTTCAAATGTCATCTCTTCAAAAGACACTCTTTCAGAACATTTATAATGATCTGATATTAATTAGTATGATTTGTGCATATGTGTTTGTACCTATGTATAGAATTCTATTTTTATCTATCTATCTATCTATCTATCTATCTATCTATCTATCTACCTACCTACCTACCTACCTACCTACCTATCTATCTATCCTATTTACCTAAAACTATGGGGTACGCTATGGAAGTACAGTACCGATTGCACTTTTGTTCACCCATGTTTTGTTCACCTGTTACAATTACCTAGATCAGTGCCTGCCTGACACATAGAAAATGCTCAGTAAATATTCATTGACTGAATTAACGTACCCAGCAAATACATCTCAAAGTGTTTTTGGTGTCACAGTCTTATGTGACCCTCAATCCAGTGCAATGGAGTTGACTGTGAAGGTATCATTTCTTCACTGAAAAAGTGGCAAAACAGACTTTTAGATTAAAAGATGATCCCTGAAATCACACAGCCTGTTCTCCAGGAAAATCAGAGTTAAAACCCAAGTGTTTTGACTTAATCCAATGTGCTTACTACTTACTATACTACACTGCTTTTCTCATTTTCTGCCTCGAGAACTAATCATCTTTTTGAATTATCACTTGGAAACATCTGTTACTTCAATACTTATCAGCAGGGTATCAACATGGTAGGAAATCCCCAGTAAAAAACAGATCTATTGCTGCCTAGCTGTTAGATCTGTTAAGAGTATATAATATAGTGTATACGTATATAGGTACACATATGTGTGTGTGTTTGTGTGTACATATATGTGTGTGCTCATTTATGCTGTATAAATAGCACATATGTTAAAACCTATCTTCGAAGGGTGTGCTTGTTTAAAGACTGATTTTAATTTATCATCAAAAACTTCAGTTACATTGATGTACTATCTTAAGATATTCCTAAACACTATAATAATAACCATCATCATCATAATACCATTTTATATCTCTATTCCATGTTGAGCCCTTGAAAATTTGAACATGTGTATACAGTTATACTAATTTCAAAGAATCTGCTGATTCTTTTTTTATATTGGACAGAGAAGGATTATTGTGACAAAAATATTTGATTGAAAAAAATTTGCTTAGTCTGCCCTATGAACATTTCTTCCAAATGAGTTATTTTAATTGATTTCCATTTGCAGACAATTTGCTCATTATATAAGAGGTCCATTCATGTTTAACTGTGGCTAGGTGTGTCATCTTCCTAGCTGAATGTCATTAGAAGTTCCTGACTCATCTGGTTTGCTCTTAAAATAGAATATTTTTGAAGGATAAAAATACCTTGACTTTTCCTCATGTGATCCATAGAAAGGCCTTGAGTGCTTTCTAGGTATTTCTAATAACACTTTAGAGCCTAATGCTAAGTCAGGAAAATCTAGTATTAGAACATAGCATTTAAATCCCAATGTTTTAATGTTCCTTAAATTATAAATGATATATATATGTTCCCCTCCAATGGGGATTTCGTATTGGAGGTGAGGGGGAAGAAATGACAAAGTTTCCCAGAATAGCATAGTCATTTACCAACAATCTAAAAACAGCAGAGGGAAATAAGACCCTATATTTGGCAAGTGGATAGCTCGCTTCTTGAGAGCATTTTATTATGCTAGACAAAACAGATTGGTGGCTCCTAAAACAACTGGAAGCCGATGTCTGTTAGGCCAGCTCTCTTGGGGAGGTGCCATGAAGTGCAATAATTATGCCCTCCCCACACTCAAGAAATAGATCATAGTGATAAAGGAGTCCAAGAGAACTGCCCCATGTCACCAAGCACTTGCAAGCACGCAGACAGGGATTCGTATGGATTTCTCAAAGGAGCATGTGCTTAATGATAGGTCCCTGCCATAGAAGTACCAATGAAGAAAAGAGGACATCATTTTAATTCCATAAATGTCATTCAGTCCATAAGATATTCATCGTAAATCTTATAGTTTGTTACCTGGAAAGAACCAAAATTCAACCCTGGAAACAAAAATGAGATTGAGTCATATAATTGGGAAAAAAAATAACAGGAGGGTCTGAATATTTTAAGAATTATGCAGAAAGAAAATATGGGTATTAATTCCCCTTGATCACACAATTTAAGGAGCTTTTAATAGCACAAAGTTAATCTGTAAATAATAAGAAATACAATGATTTTTCAACAAGGGGCATACCTGATACCCAAGGAATTTTGGATGAAAATATGCCCAATTCTTTATTAACTGCTCTTTTTATATTTTTTCATGAAAGTAAGGGCCTATGTTATTATTTCAAAGAAAAGCCAACTGATGACTTCTTTTCTTAATCTAGAAAGGGAAATCTTGAAAGAGAAAATGAGCTCAATGAATGAGATAAATTCTAGTTTGTGTGAGTAGCTGGAGTATTTTATTGTGAATATTTCTGTTTATTATTGTTTTTAATTGAAAGTCAATCCTGACATTCTAATAAAGTATGAACTCTTGATGGAGTCTTAAGAAATGACAGATATTTAAACAAAGGAAAGAATCAGTCTAGTTAAAAAAAATATGGAGAGTGTGCAACAGAGGGAGATGTATATTTTGGGGAAATGACTGCTGGAAAGAGGGTAAAGGGGGGACCAGTATGAGAGGCAAGCGGTTAATACAGCTGAGACTTACTGCTGATAGCTGTTGTTCCTAAGGGACACAGTTGCTTCAAAACATGAAAGCTGAGGTTGGAAATGATTTCTAAAAACACACCTCTATTTTGTCTCAAACCATGTACTCTATTTTAGAACACTGAACAGTAAACCCTACATAATTATTATGTCAGGGGGCTCATTTAAGCATTTGGAGCCAATGAAATTGTTGAGGCGGAAAAAAAGCCTAAAAATATTGGATTGATTACTGAGGGGATTATGGCCACCTCAACATGTATCATTCAAGGTGCACATTACGTGTGCAAAGTGACTTCCTTGAGACAGATTTATACTCAAAGTATTAACTGTTTACAAGTGAATTACTAAGGGATAAATTTTTTGATCTCAGAAGAATTTATTATTGCATGTATTGGAGCACATTTTTAATGTCACACACCGAAGATACAAATGTCCTGATAAACGAAATGCACTGCTTAAGTTACCAGATTGTTATTTCTCAGAGCCAAAGTTGAAAATTACAAGGTCATCTTTTTCATTCTCACCTCTCAAAGAAGTGTTTCTTTTTACATGAGCAACACTTTCTTTCTTTCTTCCTTTGGTGAGTGACTTTATTTCCCAGAAAATGTCACCCAACTACAATATAGACATTTTATTGGTTGATATGCCTGCCTCAGAGACCAATAAAATAAAATCACATTGAAGTTGAAAATGAAATCTATTAAATAAACTTGTGCTATTCCTCAAAATTGAAGAAACTTACTTAGGCTGTCAGACTTTTTTCCAGGGAGTAATTTGGATAATTCAGTTATGATTTAGTGCCAGAAAGCAATCATTTATGAAACATACCCTAGAGTCTTTAAAGAGTTAATAAAGCTTGCTACAATACACTATATACTTCCCAAGAGTAGCCTAAGTACCTAGAGGATCAAGCGAGCTGTGGAAGAATATTTAAGCTTAAAACAAACCCATATGCTAACATATTTTTATTATGAAATGAAATGGCTTGGTATCATCGGGCAAGTGTGGCCATTCTTGAAGAATTCATTAAGTGTCATCTGACCCCTCCATAAAAATCTCTGTCTCCCAAAGTGGCATATTTAGGCTCCATTCTCCATTGAAAAATATTAAGTGTGAAATTTCATGTGTAAGCCCTAAATTATCAGCACTACACAGTGGTCCAATTTTAGAAATAGCTAATCAAAGCCAATAAATTTCCCATTTGGGTGTGAGTATGTGGTGGTGAGATCTAATAAAGGCTGTTGATAGACATTCACTGTCCCAATTTCCTGCTTCATCAGAGCGTGTAACTGAAGTGAAGACGGACATCTTCGTCACCAGCTTCGGACCCGTTTCAGACCATGATATGGTAAGTGACGTTGCGTTTTTGGGTTTCTTGGGGATAGTTTCTATATTTAACTTTCAAAAGAAGAAATATAGACGAGGCATTTAGGAAGCAACTTGCAATAGCTTGGCTATATTTGGGGGTCTTACTATGTGCACAGCATGTAATAAATAATGTATATAATGTTTACATAATAGAAAATGCCCATTTACTTTCCAGATCAACCCTATTTATGGTTATCAAACACTGCACCCTTCTTTTTTTTCACCCGTGAAATTATTCCTTGCCTGGGCTTGCATTCTGTGAGCCAAATGGTGTGAATTACGTTGGATTTTAGCTAGGAGAACATATTGATTGAAGAATGGTAGGTTTCTGGATAGCCAGCCTGTTAACGGCATAGCTGTAAACAATGCAATTTCTGAATTATTTTTGGCTAAAAGGAGAAACGTGTATAAAAGCTGAGTGAATACTTGACCAGAATTAGTCCGGGAATGAAATGACACCTGTGGGAAAGGCTCAGCTTCACTGCAAAAGGCAATCATTAAATTCTAAGAGTGAGAATGAAATGAATACCTATCTGTTCTCTCTTTTCCCAAATGAATTTACATGAATTTCTCTTCTATCTGATGGGAGTCGGTAAATCAGTAGATTTCTGCAGATATTATATAATATTTCTGAGCTCGTAACAGCCAAGCTCCTGTATAAGCAAAAAATCATAAGGAGGCCATGATGACACAGCATTAGGAATATTTTGAAGACATATTGATTAAATACTATTTTTGAAATGTCTTTTTGTTGACACCATCTTAACATAAAAGTCTTCTGACTTCATAGTAGCTCAGATGATTCAGAATCAGAGTTACAGAAAATATCAACTTAGGTCAGCATTTCCCAAAGGGTGGACATTCACAGTTCACCCAGCTTAGCAGGGTTAAAACTCTGGTAAGTCAGGATGTAAGGTAAACTGTTAAACTGCATTTAATCTAGTGTTTTCCAATCATATGAGTCCAGAACCCTTTTCTTCGAGTGCAACCCTTTGACATTCTGTAGAACTGATACTCTGTGAGTCAAACATTGGGAAATGCTGGCTTAGGATAAGGTACTTTACATCTGAGACAGGTTATGAAATGCACCAGCTCTACAGATTTGAGTCAGTGGAGTGCATGGGAGACACTGCAGAACAGTAGTGAGAATACAGATTTCAGAACCAGAATGCCTGGGTTCATCATTTATTAGGGTGTATCCTTGGGGAAGTTACTTAATCTGTCTCTGCCTCAGTTTCTTCATGTGTAAAATGGGAGTAATAATAATTCCTCATGGGGTTGTCACAAGTATGAAATGAATGAATACATGAAAAGTCCTTAAAAATTCTTGGCAGAAAATAAGCACTCAACAAATGTCAGCCATTGTTACAATGTAAGAACTAGAAATATAAAGGTTAGCCATCTTTGTGGATTTGCTCCTCTGGCCATTCGTTCTGTCACTGTGGTCAGTCTGTGGACCACTTTATTGAAATACTGTGTGATAACGATAATTTTTGCTAAGTTGATTGCGCTCTGAGGACCTATTGCGGCTCTCTCATAGTGGAACTCAGTCTTCCCATGACACTATTCTCTGATGCTACTTTACTAATTAAGGACATTCAATAGATCCCAGTTAAGCCTGAGGTCAAATTTCAGCTCCTCTGCCTGCAGCCTATACAAGCCGTGCATGATTTTACCACCCGTCCCCAGCGTTCCCAGCACTGACACAAGTACTACTTGCTGTGAGGCGCACCACTGGGGGCTGGCGGGGCTGGCTGTAGGATTCAGGCTGGCTGAATTCAGATTCCTCACTGACAGCCAGCAGCGTGACCTTGGGCAAGTCGGATAAGTTCGTAAGGCACACAGTTTCCAAAGTGGATATATTATTATATTTACCTATCCTTGTAAGACTGTTAGGAATTTTAAAAGAGGTATGTAAATAAAGGTCTCTCGATTGTGCTCAATAATTAGTAGCTATTATTACTTTTGCCTCTGAATCTCTTATCATGCCATACAACCTTCATGGAAATTTCTTCTCTCCTCCATCCATCTAAATTTTGTATTTCCACAAAAGCCCAAATCCAGACCCAAATGCTTGATGAAAACTCTTTTTTATTAATCCTGTAACAAATTAACTTCCCCTTTCTGCATTCTGATCACATTTACTGACTGCAAAGTACAATTTAGCTTTTGCTCTCCTGTATAGCACTGCTTTTAAGTTATTTGTCTTATCTTCCTAAAGTGATGCCAAAAAAACCAGAAATACACTCTAGTTTCACATCCCCCGCAGTATCAATGCATTGCTCTTTTACAGTTAATGTTGAATTAGTGTTTATCTGGGGAAAGGTTTAGGAGTCTATATTATCTTTTAAAAATGAAGATCTTATGGGACTAGTAACACCCTCTTTCCTACTTGAGTTCTGAATCTTTTGAGAAACACAGCAGAGTAAGGCACATGGAAAATGAGACTATCATCTGTATTACTAATAATGGCGGTGTTACAGAAGGTGGCTTGTATCTGCAGACAAGTGGGTTTCTAGAGAGTACACATCGGGATCAGCCAGATTAGCCCACACGGTCAGCAGGCAGTGTTGGTCTCCCTCTGCTAGGGTGTAGATCGTCCATATAGAACTTCTAGCATGGAGGAACACAGCGGAATTTGTGAGTCTAATGGACTGCCAGTATCCAAAATGGAAAAGACAAGAGGAAGAAGCTGAGATAGGCAAGACAGATTTCTCCTTCCAAATTCACCTGTCAAATTAAATTACTCCTCCTTCCTCCCCTCCCCAAATAGAAGAGTGTGAGGAAATGGAGAGCTTTCAGAAGTTTTACACTGGTGAAGCTCTCTTCTCATAGATGGAAACACCAAGAGAGGAGATGAAGCATTACAAATAGCACACACTGATCATAATATTACTACTACTACTACTACTACTACTACTACTACTACTGCTGCTACTACTACTACTACTACTAATAATAATAATAATAATAAATGACTATTCTCTATCTCCGGCACCTAGCATGATGCCTCACAGAGCATAGACGCTCAGTAGAAGTTGTTAAGGGACAGTGCCCATATAAAGCCATATGCAATCACAAACTTTTAAAATGTATTTGGCATGCTTTTGAGTTATTGGCTCAGATTAAATACGATCTCAGGAACAAGTGATTTTTTTTCTTGTCTTAGACAAAAGGTACACACTTCATTTTTGGATCCGCATTAACCCTAAGGTTATCAAGAATTACTTTTCATACATGGCCATTGGTCAAATATCGGGGAATAAGAAAGGACAGAGTCCAAACCAATGATACTCGGTTTTGCCTCAAACTCTTGAACAGGACAATATTTGAATTGTTCTGTCAAAGGTTCCAATTAGCCATAGGTCTGCAATGGATTTGCTAGGTGGCTAGTGGAAATTATACCTGACCACTTTGAGAAGATTGATCTTTTAAACTACATTATGGGAGAATTATTCAAAAGCAGCATGATTTAGAGGCTATCAAAATCAAAAGGCAGAACTACACAGCTATTTTTCAAGACAGGAAATACAGGTCTTAAACTGAGAACTAATAAAATACCTAATTAATAATAATAACCATAACAACATCGAACACTACTGAATGCTTACAGTATGTTAGGCACCATGCTAATACCATATTTCATCTAATCCTCACGCCAAATATTTTAGCCAAGCATTATTCTTACCCACGTTTTCCAGAGGAGGAAAGTGGCCCAGCTAGGTAGCAACTTGAACTCAGGCTGTCCATCCTTAGAGACCCTACAGCTCCCAAGGCATCTGACTTCATCTGGAATAGAAAACAAAATTAGGACAACTCCTTAACTTTATTTTAAAAACCATTAATTGGCAATCAAAGCGCACACTCCCAGGGCACTAGGTTCTGACAGAAATATCCATGCAGCACAATCACAGAACCCTGTTTCCCATCGTGCTTAAAATGTATTAAATCAAAGCACACAGAAATGGTAATAAATGGTACAAGCAGGAACACTTGGGAACAATACTTATTTAGAAACATAGTGGATGTTTTGTCCCAGTCTTTTGAATAAGGCGCATGTCCTCCAGGGACCTACTCTATTGAACAGGGTAACTTTTCAACTTTTCACTCGAGTGGTGAGGGCTAGAACACTGAACTCTGAGCAAATTCTTCGCCAAAGCAAAGACACACTTTGTTCAGACACATTTTTGTAGACTCTTCTCTCTTGCCTTCGGTTTTTGTTTTGCTTTGTTATGATCACCTCCTCACTTTCCTCAGGTTTCCTGTCCTACCACCCTTCCTTCCAAAGCAATAGCACTGGTTTTCATTCCCAGCTACCTGGTAATCAAATATAAATTTGTGTTGATAAAAAAAGAAAATGGGAGACAAATAAAACCTTTTAATGTTTGCTGAGAACTTACAGGACAGTCTTGTAAGCTGTTCACTTGTGTTAACTCACGTCTCATAACAGGCAAATGAAACAAGTGTTGCTATGATCCCCCGTTATAGATTGTCAACCGGGGGTTTAGAGAAGGTAACAGCATGACCTACGACCATTCATCTGGCAGAGGGAACAATTCAGTTCTAGTTAGCAGATTTAGAATTAACATCTGTAACCATGACGCTATGGCCTCAAGAAGATGACTTCTTGTTCCAGCTTCCTGAGGCAGGGGTGCTGGCCCATCTTGGTCTAATGAATTTTGACCGTGGGGCAGAGGTGATGCTATACAAGCGGGTACTGGGAGCCGCCTGCTGTTACCATGGCAACATCACAGGGGCCATTCTCAGAACGTGGGACGCCAAATATTTACACTCTTGAACAGGCAGGAGGTGATCATTATCAATCACTTTTATTTCCGTTTGCATCTCCACTTGTAACAGAGGGGAACATGAAGATGAAAGCTTATCTAGTTAATTTTGCTCTGTGTGTGTGTGTGTGAGCACACATGCATGCTTGTGTGACCAGGATAATATTCAGAGAGAGAGTATCTTAAATGAATTTGGGGTTTTCATCATCTGTTATTAGCATAGGTGAAAAAAAAAAGCTAGCTATAAATATGACAAACTTGTAAACCTTAGGACCTGGGCAAGTCTTTGTCATAATTTTTTCTGGGAATCTTTGTCTTTGGGATATATCTTGTCAAAGACGTGATGATACATATATTTTAAGTTTATTTTACACTGAACATTTATTTTATATTCAGAAATCTTGGAGCAGGCAAACAAGTGAACAAATGTTTTAGGTTCATGGGAACATGGTCAGCATAGACTTCTTTGGAACCTTGATTGACAAGTGACCGTTGCCTCTCCTGTTGACCAGGCTAACGTTGTTCACTTGGGTGAAGTACAGAGTTTATGTAGCTGATCCCTGAGTAATAGAAATATCATCATCATCATATCTCGTAAGCTTTTCTGTTGACCAGAGAAGAGACATGCACCATCCAGAGTAAATCTGTGCACTCTGCTTCCCGGGCAATCATGGCTCCTCTGGACCACTGCCTGATGTAATCCACAGGCATCCTCCTCAGTCCTCTCCTCGTGGAAAATACCCTTCTATGCCCATCTTACTCCTCCACAAGTTTTTCCAATAGCCTGCAAGTCTAAACAGTTTCTCCCTCAGTCGAATTTAACAGATACCTAACAAACGTTTCTTGCTGAGTACATTCCTATGTCATGTATCCCAGTGCCTCTCATCGGACACTTCCAGACAGAGAGAAAACAAACAAGGTCACTTTTCTTGCCTGCAAAGATAGACTGGCATCATGTTACACATTTCTGTTTCTGTTCCATCAGCATTTACCACTCTGCCTGGTGCATTATAGACGAGCCAATAATAATTGTTAGTTACTTGATCGGTAAGAGCTCAGCAGTGCCAAGCTTGGGCTATGACAACCTTCATTCAATCTTGACCCAATCTCGCTCAAACCCTGGGAAAGACATACGGAGTAAAGTACATGCACAAAAAAAGCCTAAACACAGACATTATTTATTTTGCACGTCTTAAAGACAATATGTACAAAATTTTTAAAAAAGCAGCAGCTTTCTGATGCATCCGGGTTTAGGGGATTGAGAAAATGTAGCATGATGTTTTCGAGTTAGTCTTCCTTCCAGTCTGGAGCATTCTAAGATTAATGGAGAATGCAGTAATCTTTATTTCAAACCACTGAGTTCCAAATTTGGTGTCAGTGTAGCAAATACTGCAAGGAAGACGGCTATGATTACCCCTTTCAATCTGAGGAGCTGGTAAGTCACACTGCGTGTTTTCACATTTGCAGATGTTTGTCTCTGGGTATTGCCATAAGGGATGCTGTGTTTATTCAGATAAATTGATGCCCTGACTGTGAATGATGATGAGATTCACACATTTCTCATGTGTCTCTAACACACATGTACTTACAAACACACACTCAGACACACCCACGTACAATGCATTCTTCCCTTTGGAAAAGATCCAAATGACCAGTGAATGATTTTCTTATTTTCATAATCTTCTTCATTGTGTAGAATTGAAAGTCTATATACATAACAATGCTTCCTTAGCCAAAAAGAAAAGTGGGTTATCACATCCACTTTAGAACCATGGATGTGGTAGGATTGAGTGTATGGTTTTCGGAGACCATGGGAGGGACCCCCAAAACGTTATGCTTTATTTTTATAACTAGAATTGTCTAATTAAAACATTTTCCTGGATGTAATAACCTGTAACATGAGTTTTGTTTTTATTTGCAATGCCGTCTATCTCTTCGAGTGCTAATGTGGTGGAGGAGAGGTGGGAATAGGGTACTTTGTCCTTTCAAGCATCTGAGAGGGCAATCAGCAGAATTCTTCTGACCAAAAAATATTCCAGGCACTTTAGCTATTTTTTAAAAAGTAATTATGCTACCCAATGATTCACCTGACACCAGGAGGTGCAGGCCATCACAAATGTCCTTCTAGAAACATCATCTAGCTCATATTTTGCTTCCAAAGTTGCAAAAATCATGCACTGTCTTTGCAAGCCATTTGCATTGCAAAATACAGCACAGTGAACTCTTTGCCATTTTCCAAAATTGCCTAGGAATATACAATAGATGTATTTTTCCGTCAAAGCTGGAAGGATGAAAGGTTAAAATTTAAAGGACCCATGACAGTACTCCGGCTAAATAACCTCATGGCGAGCAAAATCTGGACGCCGGATACCTTTTTTCACAACGGAAAGAAGTCAGTGGCCCACAACATGACCATGCCCAACAAGCTCCTGCGGATCACGGAGGACGGGACCTTGCTGTACACCATGAGGTGAGGACGGCTTTGCTGCCATTTGCGAATTTTTCTCAACTTTCGCTCCCATGTGCCGTCAAGGCGCGTCAAGCTGATGGGCTGTTGTATACCATCTGCTTTCCTTATTGCCCTTGTTTTTCAATGTTAATAATTACTCTAGTATGAAAAGTAAGCTGGCTGAAATATTATGCAAGGATTAAATGTGAAGCAAATTAATTAGACAAAAATGAAAAAAAAAGTATACTAAGTAATGCAATATAGATCTCCAACATGCTCTAATTTAATAGAGGAACTTTCTCTCCCTACTATTATTAACCTCATGTATTCCTGCTTTCCAGTAAGGTCTAGATTAAATTTCTAGAAGCTATCCCAAGGGATATGTCTGAAAATATTTCTATTTAAAGAGAAGGGGAAAAACAAAAAAAAATAGAAAAAGTTCAAAATTTTAAACATAAATTCATGTGGAAACATACATTTTGAAGTATAGGACTTCACAATGATGTTGATTAGATTGAGGATATAAATATTCCTCATTTTGCTTAAATTGAAGGCTACGCAGATGTTTTTGCCTTACAAACATTTCACCTGTTTTGAGATTACTGGAAAGCCTGGGATCTAGATACCAATCATTCATTTATGGTTGAATGAAAGACACATGAGTCAAATAAAGCTTTCAACATTTTGAGAGGAAAAAAAAACGATGCTTAAAAATATTCCAAGTTTTTGAGAAATTAAGAATTATCCAGGACTCATTCTTAAGGGAAGAGATTATTTCATATTGAAATGACTTGTTAGGACGTTGTTTTTGTAGATCTGGTCCCACTTGGTAACTCAGACCATCCAATCATTTCTTTGGTATGAAAAGGCAATGAAGGCAACTCCTGGAACATGGCAGAGTCTGTTTAGAGAGGGAATAGAGCGATATTTTGCTTTTGGAGAAAGCTGCCAGAATTTCTAGTGTTTCAACCCAAGTATCCATATGATAAAGAAAGAAAAAAAATGCTTCAAGAGAGACTTTAGGTAGGTGTTGGACTCAGCTAGTAAAAGTATAAAAGGACTGAAAGCATGAAAAATCCAGAAAAAGAGAGAAAGAAAATAGAGGATCAGTGGGCAGATGTGTTGAGAACTTCCCAGATCATCCAAGCAAGATCTATTTATACTGGAAGTTTGAAATATTCTCCCCTTGTAAAATATCCTACACTTTTCAGCCTAAATCTAGTATTCTTTCCTGCCAGCTGGCAGTTATCTGGGGGAGAGAACTGCATATACTGAAAAGCTTCTCAATTAACAGTTCCTGATGTATGTGGTATTCCTCACCAGTAACTAACCTATACCTCCCTTCGCCCCAGTTTTTCACCATCTTTGCTGATGTGTTATCACTTTCCTTAATAATCTGACTTAAAGGATGCAAGTTTAATCATTAATGTACACATTTCTTATTTGCTTTAATAAATAGAAGCACTTCATGATTTTAATGGCCATAAAGCCACTTTACCACATTTCTTGAGTTATGTAATAATATAGGTAAATGCATTTTCTGAAAATTATATGAGGAATTTGGGTATAAATTTCATCACAGTTCCACCAAACGAGATCAAATGTATTTCAGTGACTCCCTTTCTTAAAACATCAACAGTATTCACATTCCCAGAACATAGGGACTAAAAAGAAGCTTCGCAGCATCTTGGCTTCAGTTAGGCAGTGGATTTGTAAGTAAAACTAAATGATTGGAATAGAGTGAACTCACATACAAACTCTCCAGGAGACTTCACATTAATTTCAGTTTCACAAAGCTTGAGGACAGTTCCTTGTTCCCTTCTTCCTTTGCTGTTGTATGCACTTGGTGCTACTTTAGGGAAGGAAGGAGGGAGAGCTTCACTGGGGAATGCAGACATTCTCCTCCCCTCCTTGTGACCCATGTCTTCTTCTCGACCAAGGATCAGTTAGTATTCTTCCATGTATTTATTTGTTTACATCCTGTTTTATTCTCAGAGGATTTGCTGTGGTAGGTGGATGCGTTGATGATGCTTGTTTTGGGAAACACGAGCAATGCCTGCTCATCATATGAAATCAGGTGCCACCTTTTTTCTCAAAACAAACAAAAACTGTGGCTAGAATCCAGCCATTGTTGTAAATAGCTCTTTGGGGACCATTGACAGCTCAGTATAGCACTGCTGTCTGTGCTTGCCTCTCCGGCTGTGCTGATATGGTTGCTGCAGTTAATAATATACCCCAATCATATTCATCAGAAAGTATCTAATCCATGGGGCTTTTGTTTGTATCCCCCATTTCCCTTAACTGAGAAGGCTGACGGTGAGAGCTGAATGTCCAATGCATTTGGAAGACTTCCCTATGGATGCCCATGCCTGCCCACTGAAATTTGGAAGCTGTGAGTAAATTCATTTTAATTTGTTAAATTCTTTTCTTGTGTTCTTATGAGAGGCCTCTTGAAGCAAGAGACCTCCAATCAGTTATAAATGTTAGAAGGACAGATAAAGAACATCAAGAAAGTTAAAAAAAATGATTTGCTGCAAGTGATTTCCAGAAGTCATCATCTTTGACTTCACTTTTTAAAATTATTTCAGTAAGGGGTGATTCTCTACCTCCTGGACTAGCAAGAATGGATTTAACTATTTAGTGGAAAAATTCTATTTTTGTTGAAACTGTGGTCAGAGAAAATCAAATGGAGTATGGATGCAGATATCTCATAGACAGTATCTTTTCTCCAATAAGTGGAAATCATCGTGTTTCTTTTGTATCACTACGGACATCTGGTTGATCTTAAGAATAATTCAACGTGCGTACCTGATGGAAATATTGGTAGGTGGCAAAGGACAAGAATTAGGGTCCCTTAATAATGAAGCCTACACATAAAGACGAAGCCAGAAAAGAATTTGCTCTTAGGAGTCAAAGTCTTAAAATAGTCCTAAATCTGTTTGGTCATCCCATGAAATTCATGTCTGTATGAACGCTTTTGACGGTGAAACCCCTAAACTCCCTTTCTGATAACTTCTAGAATTTCTACTAGACTATTTGCAGGCCCACGTGAGGGGAGAGCAGAGGACAGTGACCAGCAGAGTTAGGTTCTCTGGGCTTGCTCTACTTTTCCTCTTTTGATTAGTATGCGTGCATCAGGCGAGGAGGAGTGATGTATTCCTGGCTTCCTGCAGGGGAGTTACATGTAGGGACTGAGTCACCTTCTGGACTAACCTAACCTGCTCTCAGTTCTCACTAGACAGGCAATCTGAGCAACTATTTTGGTGGAGATATGATTCACAGAAGGAAAATAGTGGTAGTGTAGGAAGACAGCTAGCAAAGAAAATAGCAAAGGGCCCTTGGGCTCCCAGCAGCACTGGCCATGGAGAGACAACTTTCTCTATTTATAAATCTATTCTATCCTGAGACCCAAGGATAAACGCCTTCAAAAACTGTCAGCTAAACAGGCCTTTGCTGGTAACTCCCTCCTGCCTAGTCTTTTCCCAATTTAATATACGTTCTATGTCATGGACTGTTATACTTTCTCCTGATTACCAGTTCTATTTTTAACAATAACATTATGTATTATGTGATACCTGTACACCAGGTAGTGCATTAAACACCTGTATATGCATCAGCTCATCTAATCCACAAAATAACTTTATAGTTAGGAATATCACACATCATGGTCTGTCTGAAACAGTATGGATTCATGCCTAATATTATGGTATAACTACTAACAGTGCCCCCTTTTGCCTTCAAAGATATCTTGCTTTGGACAGTTAATTATATGTTTAGTGTATTAGTCAGGAATGCTTTAAGCAGTGAGCTTTGCTTAAGAAAAGAGGGGTTTATATTTTCATACCAGATATTGAAGGTGAGTGAGTGTTGGCTGACTGCTGGTTACTTCAGCATCTTAACAAGGATGATGTCTTAAGATATCTTTAGAAGGTCTTCCTGATGACAAAATGGCTGCTGCAACTCCAGCCATTGCCTCTGCTTTCAAGATGAAGAGGATTAGTGAGCCAAGAAGGTGCAGTGCTTGTATCAAAAAAGTAAAATCTTTCCCTAAAATCCTAACAGATATCTTCCCACATCTCATTAGTCAAAGCTGTGTCACATGGCCAACGCTAACTACAAAGGAGCCTGGGAAAAGTGTATTTAACCAGGCACATTATCATCCAGAAGAAAACTGAAGGTACTGTAAGAAGGAGGTGATGGATAGTGAGCATAAAACAAATAGCATCTCATATAAGAAAACTGAAATTAAAAAAAATTATAAGTAAGCTCTTTTCTGTCTCAGAGCCTTTGCATATGCTCTTTCCTCTGCCTGAGTTTCTCACCTCCTTGGTCCTTAGCAGGGCTGGTTTTATTTACCTCCTACATCTCAGCGTAACTATCATTTCCTGGGACCTTCCCTGAAGACCTTATCAAAATTTGCATATAGTCCCATTGGTCCTCTTGATCACAGTACATATTTATTTTATACCATTCATCACAGAAGTAATTATTAGTTTTGTTTATTGGTTCACATTGTTCTCACCTGGAGACTGAAAACTCCGTGAGAGCACAGTCTGTTTTGTTCTGCGTTTCCTAGCGCAGAGCCTAATACAATGCAGGCACTCAATCAGTACTTATAAAAGGGATAAAGACAACAATGATCAGGTTTTAAACGCCCTTCAGTGTTTAAGTCTCAGGAAAAAATGGCCTCAGAAACAAGGGTTTAAGAACTGTGAGGAGTTAAACTTCAACAGAGAGCACTTGACATGGCAGAACAGGCGCAGACGGCACGTGCCCGGGGCGGAGGGCGCCAGGGCTCGCTCCTGTGGCCTGCCAGGGCCATGAGAAGCAACAGCCGGGGTTCCTTCATTGGCTAGTCATTTCTCTGACCTGGCCTAACAAGCGCATTTCAGAGATGAGGAAACTGAGGCCAAAGTGGGCTACGAATGCTTCAACCCTTTTTTAAAGCTGCCGTCTTGCCCAAATATCAGAGACGAGAGTAAGGAAGAGATAAGCACAATGATTTTGCAATCATTCAGTAAAACCTTATGCAACAAATGTTTAGCAAGTGTCTGAAGCAGCTTCATCCAGATGTCGATAAGCACCAAACTTGGAAAAGCAGGTGTTTTCCTGACCACTCGCCACTAGGTTCTGACTGTCAGTGCTCTATCATACTTCCTGCTTGTCGGGGATAAAGCCCTCTGGAGAAGGCCAGATTACTCGAAGACAATGTGTGTAATGCAGCTGCCAGCTCCTAATGCTTTCTGAGACATATACAAAATAAAGCTTTGATTCTAGGAGAAGAGATTCAGATTATATGCCAGTGGCATGGGATGAGATTCACATATATGAGTTTAATTCAGATTACATTCCGACAGTAAGATCTAGGTAAGTACTAGATCTGGTGAGGACTTAATAAATGATCGTTCCCTGACTGATTATCAAGCAATGTCGGAAGCAAGAAGAGAGGGATAGGTAGAAATTTAAATGAATTCTGAACAATGAATAATTAAAAAAAACTAGTGTATCTGCCTCACGCAAATGGAAAAGCGAAGTCCCATAAGAGTGGAGTGACAGCCTTAATTTGCAGATGCTTTTCTGATAGTTTATGTTCTCTCATTTTAAAAATTTTTCTTAGGTAATTTACTGATTTATTTGAAATCTGAGCTTAACATTTTTGATGAAGTAGTTGAAAACACTTTTTGACCTTCTTTTCTTTATGCTGAGTAGGGTCAAATCAATCAAGTTTTCATAGGACCTACTTTCCAGATACTGAAACCAAGAAATAATAAGATATATCACCTATGGCAGAGCTCTGCTTTGAGACTTTAGGTGTATCTGTCTTCTATGTTTAAAACACCAACTTTCATCACGTGAATTTACTCCACATTTTGAGAGATTTCTACTGGGAGCCGTAAACAATGAGTGATCTCCACTTTCACAACAATGACCTTTTTCTAGTAGATTTCATACACAGTGGAGTTTCTAAGAAGTTACAAGAAATGAGACACTGAATTATATGAAATGAGAAGTCGATGATAACACATTTTTCTTTTCCCTCTACGGCTATATTAGCAGCCCACTGGCAACACATGCCAAGGTATAAAAAAGATAGGGTCCTGGCACTGCTGCTAACGACAGTGCGATGAAGTAGCAAGAGCTTTAATTTGTTATGAAATGACACAAGGAAGGTCTAGAACTGGCTTCATCATTGGTTACGTGACCACCAATTATCCTTGCTTGGCTTTTGAGCATATGACATTCAGTTTTTGCCTAGGAAATCCTTGCTAACAGCAGTGGGGTAGAATGAATGGCATTCTATGCCCTTATCTCGGTTTTCCCCCTAAGTTACTATGCACCCTGAGACAAGTCATTTAATGTTCCTGTGCCTTAGGGTGCCATTTGTAAGACGAGATAGACTATGTGACTCCAAAGTCCTTCCACGTTGACATTCACTGCTTCTAGGTCACCTCCAACTCAGTATGTCCTCTTCGGTAAGTTCCTTCCATTCGACAAACAAGAGTTTTTCATGACCAGAAAAGCATTTTACTGAATACAGGTACCTACAAATTTTAAGCAGTATGGTACTTTTCAAACATGTGCTCTGTCCTCTTCAGAGGGATATTTTTAAAAAATAAACTTTTAGATCTTCCTAACAAATGCAATCATGCCACCATATACAATGCTAAAATGCTTCACTTTTTTTTTTAAAGTCAGTGAGATGTGTTAACTCAACAGGAGAAACCCCTTCACAACGTATACGTATAATAAACCCTCACATTGTATTCTTTAAGTATCTTACACTTGTATTTGCCAATTATACTTCAGTAAAGCTGAAAATAAACTAATAAACAATAAATCAATCAATAAAAGACGAAGTAAAAAAAAAAGTCAATAAGGACCACCACAATCTAAAAAAAAAAGGCAATGAAGATAAACTCCAAAATTATCCACTGTCACTCTTACACGTTTCTGAAAGAAGCAATAGCCACTAAATTAATTCCCAGTATATTCTCTCAAACTTCTGAAAAAATTATTTAAAAAGATATCTGATTGTAAGTTGGTTCAGAAATGATGCTGCAGCAGACTCGACACCCACATAAAAATCTAGGGAATTCTGACCACATTTTTCCACATCACTAACCCAGACACAAGTGGTCACGCTGAAAAGAACTTAGTTTGGAGAATGAGGGGCCAAAGCTCACATCTCATTTTAGGCAGCTTCATGTTTGTGTAAAAAGTCCACCATTATTGGACATCACAAAAATATTTTAGCAAGGACAAATACAGATTTGGACAAAATACCCAAGCCAGGTTACTATGAGGTGGGGGGGGGGGTTGTGTCAAGCAGGGACACATTATGACTTTTATGAACCCTAGGGACTTTTGCCTTTGTGGGCCATTCCTCCAAAAATATATATTAAAAACATATTTCAATTTTTATTTTCTATTTTTATACTTTATGACTATGTTAATGTAAAGGTGAATAGAATCCAAGTTGGAGCATATTCATTTTTTCTTCTTCTGGCTGTACACGTTTGTGTCTCCTAAAAGCAGTGTAGGCCCTCGGCACTGTGCCCACAGTCCCTAATGGGGAAGTTGGTCGGGGTGGGGGTAAGGCTTTCACAGTAAAACCCACTTTCGCTGTCATATCTTCTACTCGAGAGCCCTGGAAACAGTTTGGTTTTTTTTCCTAATGTGATATTCCTTGAATGTTTAATGTCTCTCTACAGCTAAAAGGAGGAGAATATGGGACCATGATTATAAGCTAAGTGGAGTGGGTGTTCCATGACTGGAAATCAGACAAGCTATCAAATTCCTTCTCTTTCACCTTCTCCTCCTCTCTTACTTTGTATATCTCCTCCTCCAACCTTCCTGAGTTAAAGATCAGCATTATGACCAAACCTTCCCATCAGGAGGACGACGAGGTTAAAATGTGACGTGACAAGTGAGAATGACTGAGAAGTGTAAAGGGAGCTGTGTGGCTCACCTCCTCCTATGAGAAGGATAATTAGTTGAAAAAGGAAGTAAAATCAGACTTTCGTTAAAAATGGATGATCAGAAAAATGTCAGGTGTTATCACATTTATCAATGACCTCCCCCTGGCCTAACAGATGCTGGTCCCAAGCTACCACCTCTAACCTCATTTCAAGTCTTCATTCTGGCCCCATGGGTCTTCCTGTTCTTCCTGAAACACGTCAAGCTTTTATCTGCTCCAGAGGAAGGAACTTGTTAGCTCACCCGCCGGCGTACTCTGCCCCAAGACTTAGCTGGCTCGCTCATAGGTTTCAGTCATGCATTGTATAAACGGCATTTCCTCGGTAACCCTCTCTGAGTTCCTAACTAGACTAGGTCCCATCCCCTTCATTCTCCGTCCCCATACCTGCTGCGTATGGCTTTACTGCATTTAACACTCCCTGAGATTTACGGATGAGTTAGCGCCTCTGTTTCTGTCCCCACTGCTGAAATGCATGTTCCACAAGATCAGGTGCTCGTTATCTTCACGCCTGTGTCTTCAGCAAGGCACGCTGTCCTTTGCAGTTGCTTCATAACCATTTGTTATGCGTGAACAGATAACTGAATGAGTGAGGAAAATGTGTTGTAGCTTTCCTACATGAAGCGATGTGGGCTGCCCTTTCCTAGGCTGACCCAGAAAGGATGAAGCTGATAGAACACATCAACTAACGGGGGAGAGCAAAGTGGCAAAAGACATGGACCTCTTTCCATTCTTTCCCTTTAGATGCTTACACGAGGGCAGAAGTCGTTTACGAGTGGACCCGAGAACCAGCGCGCTCCGTGGTCGTAGCAGAGGACGGGTCGCGCCTAAACCAGTATGACCTTCTTGGGCAAACGGTCGACTCTGGAATTGTCCAGTCTAGCACAGGTAAGTGCTGTTTGGTTACTTTACACATGGAAGAAGGAGTTGGAAAAGTTTTTGTAAGAATGTGCAAATTCAGTTAAGTCCTTCCATAACGCAAGTGGAGAGAGTCACAACTGCACTGAACTGGGGCACAGCTGGGCTGGGAACTAGTGGAAACTCCGTAGACCTGTGACCTTGAATTTGCCATTTAATGCTTTCTGGTCTCTGAGTTTTTGTCTGTCTGCTTGTTTACAAAATAAAGAAGTGGTTCTACTGTGATCAGGGTAGCGCTTATTTAGCTACATGACCCCTTGGAGAGAAAGAGGTAGGTTATTAACGTACTTCCTGGCACATAAAGAGCTTTTAATAAATGTTAGCTATTAACATCATCTAGGCCCCACTTATTGTCATGATTCAATGAAACTTGATAAATTTTTAGCAGTAATCGTTACCTGTAAGATGCCCAAAAGCCTTTTTTCCCCCTACAAATTCACTTGTAACTCTAGCCAGGGATCTTCCACCACTAAAACCTACACCGATCACTCTATTTTGGAATTAAAAGTAGATGGAATGACAACCTTGTCATTCTAAGTGAAGTAAGCCAGAAAGAGAAAGAAAAATACCATATGAGATCAGTCACACGTGGAATAAAAAAAAATAAGGACACTAGGAACTCATCTACAAAACAGAAACAGACTGGCAGACATAGTAAACAGTCTTATGGTTACTGGGGGAAGGGGATGGGAAGGGATAAATTAGGAGTTCGAGATTTGCAGATACTAACTATTATACATAAAATAGATAAACAACAAGTTCATACTGTATAGCACAGGGAACAATGTTCAATATCTTGTAGTAATCTATGGAGAAAAAGAATATGAAAACAAATATATGTATGTTCATGTATGACTGAAGCATTATGCTGTACACCAGAAATTGACACAACATTGCAAACTGACTATATACATCAATTAAAAAAATATGTATATATGTATATATATACACATACTAGAAGAAAAGTAGATGGACCACCATCCTTCTTGGTGTTGTAACTGTTTTACCAATGAAACACTCAGAACTGGATCAGATACTATCAAGCAGCTGGACCCCAAATTTTAAACTTTTGAAGTTTTTTCAAGAAATAAGATACATTTAGTTGTGAGAGTATCCCGTTGTGACTAACTGAAATGTGATCACAGGGCCAGATAATTATAAGTAAAATTTGGATTCTAAAAATTAGGAAACCTTAGCCCCTCGATCCCAGTAGTTTTAATTATGTTCAGTTACTGAAAGCTTAGCAAGGGTCAATAATTTAATGGCTGTCTTTAAATTTTTTAATTAGTTGGTTCACTGTGATTTGTAACTTCTAAAAAGAAAAAAGACAATTTAGTGATCAATAAGGACAGAATTCCTCTTCTTCTCAGAAAAATTTCTTCCTTAGATTTCAAACTTTATAATTAGGACCATGATCATTCTAATCTGATTATTCTAAATTCAAGTAATAGGTCAATATATCTTACTCTGATTATTGGATAATTGCTGCTTAACAGGATCTGCCTTTTCCTTACTTTATAGCATCCATGGCTACCCTAGAAGTTGAAATATTTTATTTCTTATTGTGAAAAATGGAAAAGATTGTTTCTCAGCTTTGCCTACTTTAGAAATGCACCCTGGTATAGTAGAAAGAGCTTAGGCTTTGCAGTGAGAAAAAACTGTGGACTCAAATCCTAGTCCTGCGTCTTAGAAGCCTTATGACTTTGGGAAAGTCACTTATCCAGTTAGAAACTCTGTTCTGTTCTAAGAATGGGGAGTGTATAATTTTGCATTAAAGATGGGAGCATATAGAACACTGAACAAAGTGTTATGCAGTAGATCCTTAAAATGGTATGAAGTAGTTTTTGTTATTGTCCTGAAAAATATCCTAGAACATGGAAAATCCTGAAAATTTTTCTTCCTCACAATTTGTCTTGGAAAAGATACGAAGATGAGCAGTGTTTACTTTTTAAAAACTGAATGCTACTATTAATTGGCTATTGTCCCAAGCCACTAGCGTCAATGATAGACACGGGAGATACCTTGCATTTATAAAATCTAAAGTCTAAGTGAAGACAAACACATAAACTGTAATTATCAAAATGGGTTGTAAGTGCTGTGATTAACATTTTTGTGAGGGCAAGTCCGTGCCTGTCTTCTGCATGCCTATGATTTACTATAGTCGCTGAAACAGAGGAGGCACTAAATAAACACTTGGAATTAATGAATAAAAAAAAATGAATCCAGCCTATGATAATCAAGAAAAGGATTGCTGCAAGGGTTGACTTTCATTCTGTTAATCTGTATCTGTTGGGAGCCAAATACTCACTATTCTAAGCCCAGAGTATTCAGAATAATAGACACAGAAATTTTCCTCAAGAAATTCTCCCTCCACTGTCATTAGAAAGGACATTAGAGGGTGTCAGGGAAGCGGTAATTCAAGCGCGGTAGCATCACGCAGTAACAGAAGGAGATGCAAGCTACAAAGGCTGCTGGGTGGAAAGGGTACTTCCTTTCTCATCCAGCGCTAGTGACCTTGACACATCCCCGCATCTCTCTTTACGTTCCAGTTCCCATGTCTACAAAAAGCAGTGACTTGGTCTGATGAAGTTGGAGACCTTTCTCACCTCTGGTTTCCTAAGGATTCAGCCTACCTACACTCTTGTTACTCAGAAAACGTACATAGCTACAAAAGGGCAATGGGTGAAAGAGAGTGGTCCAACCCACCACCTCCAAGCTGGCTGGTCCATTAAAAGTCGTCATTCCAGCCCAGAGCGGTGAATTTGTACAAAACAAGAGCTTTTCCTTGTCATTCCCATAAAAGATACGGGGAGAGGTGAGGGAAATAATGAGCAAATTCTCAAATGTGGGAGCTCAATTTAATGTATGTTTTCAACTCCACAATAAAACACTTGAACTACACTTCCTCCGGGCCCACCTTAGCGCATCAAAAATCCATCTTGGTTTCTAAGGGAAGAAACAAAGATCTTTTGCAAAGTCTTCAATCCCGTATTTCACATCTCCTTCTGGAGCCCTGAAAACATTAAGATAAATGACACTGAATACTATCACCTCCCTGTTTTCTACCAGACGAGGAATGGCGGCAGGGATGAGCACACACATTGAGAATAATCAGACACGAAGCATCTTAAAATTCTCTGTGGGGAGAGAAGCAATTCAGACTAGAAGGCTAGAAAGTGTTTCCCCACTTGCCTACAACCAGCACACATGTGAACACAATGCTCACACACACTGCCAATCACCTCTCTCAGGTCAAATGCCTCTAGATCACGTCAGTGCCAGGGGAGGGAAAACAGGGGGCCCCGTCCAACACTTTGATTTTTTAATTAAGTGCAAACACATCAGAGGGACAGTCCCATCACTGGATTCTGCCATCAGTTTTGGGGGTAAGATCATGAACTGGAGACTTAGCTTGAAGGACACTTAGTTACCCAGCAGAGCAAACCTGTTATAGGGACACAGAAGAATGAATCTACTCAGTTTTCAAATCGGATGCAATTCTCTGTTATTTATTCATTTATTCACTTATTCCTTCAACCATGTGCTCATTTACGGTGTTTGACACTGTGATTGGGCCTGAAGAGGACAGATGAAGGATGCATGATTCCTGCCCTCAGGAAGCTCATGGTTGAGTGATGTAAGTAGCTAACGTGCACTGTATTGTTTTAATCCTCACGACAGTCCTAGGATGTGTGTATTATCATTATCTCCATTTTGCAGATGGGACATAATTAAGGCCCAGAGAAGTTTAATAATTTTCCCAAGGTCACACAGCCAGGCAGTGGCAGAGCTGGGATTCGAACCTGGGTAGTCTAGCTAGAGACAGTGTACTCTCAACCATATGACACACTAGTACCAGGCAAGCTAGACGTGTGTGAAAATGCAACAGTGTGGTAAAGCACAGAGCTTAAGGGGTGGGTTCTGGAGCTACACTGTGAGGTTCTGAATGCTGGTTTTACCCCTTATTAACAGGGTGACCTTTCTCTGTCTTTTCTCTTGTACTATTTGGAGATAATCAGAGGATCTACTTCATGAGCTACAGTGAAATTGAGAAAAATGCATGTAAACTGCTTAGCAGAGTATCTGGCATGTAAAAGTTATGTTACAAATATGAGAGATTACTATTCATAATAATGATGCGGTTAGTGGAAGAGAGCTACATGATGACATGTAGGAAGAAGTCATTTCTGCTTGAAGTATCAGGGTCAGTTTTAAACTAGCCCCCAGGCATGGCCCCCGTCTCATTCTGCTATACCACATTATGCTTCCTAAGTGGTTCTTAAAGGAAAGCCCACACGAAAACTGTAACAGTGATTAAAGGGCGAGAACATACGACTTAGAAGCAAATTTATTAAATTAGTCAGTAGGTGTAAGAATAATACCATAGCTAGAAAATGATAAGAATGTAACAATACAAAATACTTTTTAAAGCTTGCAACAATGACTGCAAAGTCGTCATATTAACCTAAGTCATTAGACAGATTTGATCAAAGGAAATACAGGTGAGTTTTGCTGAATAAGAAGGTCTCTTCTTTGCAAATGACTGCTGTTTCTCCTTAGAACGAATGACCAAGAGAAACTGTGGGATTCTGTTCCTCAAGACAGTCTTCTCTGATTGAGTTGATTTAAGGATGAACCGGCAGGGTCAAAAGGAATGAGCAAAAAGCAAGTGTTTTCACTGACCGGGGAGCAACAGTGGTGACTGACATTCACCAGAGGAGCCTTGGGGCTCCCATTTCTGCAGCCTAGTACATGATCTCCAGAGAAATAATCAGAACCATAAAATGTGAAAACAGTTTTGTGAAGGGGAAGATGGAGGGGGAGGAGATTTATACAGTCTTCTGGTCAACCTAATCATATTTCAGAGGCGGAGACAAGTCCAAAGAGTTAGTTAAGTGGTCTAGAACTATGACCACTGTCTCCTTATTTCTATTTCAGTATTCTCTGAAGCAGATGTTAAAATATCTGGCCCTGTCTCAATGATATTTTTGATTGCTTCTTCCTTTGGGAAAAAAAAAAAGGTAGCGTCTTAGAAAACACAAAAGTTTAGAATATTCGAAAGGAAAATGTTAGCTTTACATGGAATCGACATCCACTACAATTCTGTTGAAGAAATGAGTGGTTGATTTCTAGAGCTAGAGGGACAATGCATTTCTGTCCTTTTCACCTGTGCACTGTAAATCTGCACGTGACTCGAAATGTTTAAAGTAAATTTCACATTTCTCATTCCACACTATCCTCACAGCATCCCAGAAAATAGTTAAGCAAAACACTGTCATTTTACTGAACAAAATGGGAAAACTGAAGTCAAATAAAGTGAAGCCAGGTGTTTACTCGAATTTACAAGCATCCCTCAGGGTTACATGATTTGCAAAGATATCTAAATTACAATTCTTCTAGACTGTTGAATCAAAGGAGAAGAATTTGACACGCTTAGTACATAAGCACTTGCTGTCTGGAGATACTCTTTCAATCCAGTTTAGGTGACTTTTTTTGTTGCATTTTTCTTTCATTTTTAAACTATTACAGTGTGATTCTGATTTTGCCACCTTTTCCTTATTTAAATACTGTTGATGGAAATAATCAATAAACAACCTATTAATAGGGAAAGAGGTTTATTTGAGCGTCATTGTGGACTAGAGTCTGATCCTGAGAAGTGCTTGAGTTGTGCTCTGCCAGACTACAAAATACAGGAGGCTTATGTTGGCAAAAACCATAAAATTCCACAACTTGCTTGTCAAAAATCATAACTGGAGCTGGCAAGAAGTTAGGGTGCTTGTTAAGCAAGGGTTGGCTGGGGTCCGAAATGGCTGCATAGTTCCCTGAGGAGACCTTGAGACCATAAGGTTGCAGCTGGAAGGTGCTAGGAGATAACTGTTTTGAGAATGGCTGGTGGTGTCCTGGAGTCTGATAAAGGTCAGCAAAATCAAGGTCTCAATGATGCAGGAACGCGTCTGAAACCACATCCATGATGGCCACCCATATCCATTTTGGATGCCTGAACCAGAGTTACTCCATTTAGGTTTTTAAGTGCCTTACTTTCTTTACAGTTAAAGTCGGTGTACAAGGCACATTGGATAGGCCACGAGACAGGCTGTGCTAGTGAGCATCATGTATGAGCCAGAGGGACTTCCCTATACCTCAATATGTGAACATTTTTTCCATCAACATTTTGTACAAAGCTTAGATTTTATTTAATTTAAAAAGATGACTTCAAAAGATTTGAAGTTTTACCTCCGCTTCCTCTGATTTGTTAGTGAGGAAGTGGTTTATAAAACAAATACAATATCAAATAATAGCTCCTCCAAAATAATATTCTTTGCGGAATCTTCCCCAAATGTCACATTGTGGACAACAAAAGATGATAATGGAATATATATATAGACACTCATCTTTCTGGCATTATATGAGAGATGAGATTTCTCTTTGAGCTGGTGACATTTTGCAGGCCACAGCTGAGTGGATGGTTAGGAATAATAATGCCTGCTCGTGGGAAGTGATATGCACCCTGGCTATGTCTATCTAAGGCAGACTCCTGGGAAATTGTTTTTTTTTTTTTTTTTTGTATTTTTCTCAAATTTGAATCATCTTTCAGATGACCTTGGAGACATTACCCAAGGTATCTACAAAAACAAAAACAAAAAAAAATAGTTGACATTCTATTTACTTATCAAAAAAGAGACGCTAGCAGGTGTTAAATGGAGAGTGTATTCTTAAGCTTCATGCATCCCTTTTCATCAAAGGCAGGAGTTGAAAATTTAGGGTATGTGAAGCCATGCTACACTCAAAGAGGAGTCTCTCTTCGTAATGCTAATTTGGTGGAGGGATATAAGCACAAAAAGAGCTAAAATTAAAAGTATGTGATGTTATTATAAATGTAAACAGGAACTATAAATAAATTGGAAGTTATTTAATATTGATCTGTGAATGGCAGGTGTTATCATCAATAAAAATCATGAAAGCATAAATTAATGTATGGGTGATTGCCTACCATAGAGAGTATATGGGGCATTTCTTCTACCAATACTTCTACCAGCTGACTGGAGAGATGAAAGAAGAAAATGGAGAAAGGAGCTAAGATTTATTTTAAACTCTTATGTAGCATGATCTCAAGCAGAGTCCTTATTCTTTATTCCCCCCATGATACACTTGTCCCTATTTTATAAATGAGGAAACTGAAGATCAGAGAGTTTAAGTGAGTTGCTCAAGGCTACACAGTGGGAAAATAACATATCTGGGTTTTGAACCCAAATGCATTTGCTTCCGAAGCTATAAAACCTCCTCTACAGTCCATTTCTTCCTAGTCTACTATGGACTGAGCCCAATCCATAGATGAACAAAATATTCAGCTAGAGAAGATGTCAAGTAGAGAATTCTGCTGGTCAAGATACTGAGATGTGAAAATGTGTGGTGAGACACGAGTCGTGATACTGTCATACACATTAGAGCGTTGATGTGAAGAGTCTTGAATGTAGGTTAGGGAGTTGACTTGCTAGCATGTAACACTGGAGACATTGCTGACTGTCACACTGAGGGGCAGGGAGAGTGTTTGCTAGTGACATCTAGTGTGTAAGAGGCAAAGTGTGTGGCTAAATATCCTACATTCCACCAGACAGCTCCTGCAACAAACAATGACCTGTTCTGATACGCCCGTCAGCAGTGCTGAGGTTGGGAACCTCTCGTATAGATAATGTGACTCCATTAAGGTATTTTAGCTTATTTATATGTGCATTAAAACGACCCCTCTGAACTCAAAATTTGGGGAAAACTGGAGCTAGGACGTGACTGGAGACAAACAAGACAGTAGATGATTGTAGATTTACTTTGTACGACTACAGAGAAGTTAAGAGCAGTGACCACAAGATAAGATAGACTAAGAGATACCACACAGGTGAAATTACAATTGTGTTGATCCAACCGATTCCTTTCTCTCTCTTTTGGAAGTCCACTAACACTCAAGGATTAATCCTGGATTTTTTAGCCTGGGTGAACAGACAGATGGGAGTGCCATTCATTTAGAGATGGACGCTAAGTAGAAAAGAAGGACTGCTCTATGCTGGTCATTATTTTCTTAGGGAAAAGTTTAAGTGATATCATTTTTGAACATACTGAGTTGATGGCATCAATGAAAAATCAGTATCTATGGAATATTCGGAAATACAGTGATTTTGCGGAGCAGTGTCACTTAAAGATGTAGATTCTGCAGTTATCTGGATAAAAATGACCCTAGGAGCAGGGATGAGACGGAAAAGTCCTTATTAGGGTCAAGAAAAAAAATGGAGAAGAAAGCTGTACCGGGAACCTCTACACGGGCTTTGCAGAAGGATGGAGATGAGTGCCCTAACGACTGAAAGAACTCAGTACTCTCTGATGGAAACAACTGGTGAGTTAGCAAAAGGAACTGAAAAGGAGAAAGAAAAGGAGAATGTGAGTCAAGAGACTGCTATCAAGATGGCTGGGGCCCTCAGTGTTGCTTAATTTTAATGCTGCAAAGAAGATGAGTAGTCAGCTTGAAGACTGAGATTGTCTTTAAGACTGAGATGTTCAGTTTTTGCACAATAAGAGACCATGGTCAGTTTTAACCACGTTATAGGGGCTGAAGCTGGATGGCCATGGGCTGAGACGTAAACCACAGGATGAGGAGGGCTGAAGTTCGGAGTGGAAGGGAAGGAGGAAGATAGGGAAATGTGGATATCAAAGGAAGCAAGGTTTTTCTTAGTAAGAATACACCTATTTCCTACCCACACACAGATAGCTAAGTAGATACTCAGAGTGAGGAAAGCTAAAAACTTCTAAGAGTTGTAACTGAGAAAATACACATCAATTTAAAAAAAGCCACCTCCTGCAGTCTGGGTGTGTGTTTATTGCTTTGGGCCTCCTAATCAGATCAGACTTTGGCATATGTAAAGACCATGGAGAGTGCCCAGCTAGTCTGCTGGGTCCCAGACTGGCCTAGAATGGGGACAAGTTCAAAAGCTAGCGACAAAGATGGGTTTCCTTGCCCCTACCTTAAAGAAGACTTCGTGTGTGTCAAAGAATTGCATGTTTTGAAACCTCCCCAGGTGATTCTGATGAAGGTGGTCCCCAAAATAAATTTTGAGACTTCTATCTCACTCTCTTCGTTTGGAAGATCGGGCTAAGCCGAATGACTTACCTACGGTCAGCCAGCTGCCAAGAGGAAGTGCTGGGGCTGGAACTCAGCTCCTGTGACTTGGACAGCCTGAATCTTTCCTGCAGTGGACAAACGGGGGATCCAGTCTCTCCTAATCTGTTGGGGGTACGTCACCAGGGTCTAGTGCAATGCCTTATTGCTTATTAAACCCCATCTCTAAATAGATGCTCAGCTTTGTATCTTAAGTGTATCAGGTACCAGGATTCGGATGTACAAATATCAGTGAGATCTCTGGCACCTCAGTCTCATCCTCAGAGCCATTCTGGTGTGTCTTTTAAATCTCTTTTCTTTCCTGGATAAAAGCTTTTCTCTCTGGGAACCAGATGTCACATGGAGAAAGGATATGTCTAAACTCCAGGTTCTTGCTGCTGATGGAAAAACTCAGAGACAATTTCTTTTCAAGGTCAAATTGCTGACCTTCCTGTCTGTTTTCCCCTGTAGGAGAGTATGTTGTTATGACCACTCATTTCCACCTGAAGAGAAAGATTGGCTACTTTGTTATTCAAACATACCTGCCCTGCATAATGACGGTAATTCTCTCCCAAGTCTCCTTCTGGCTCAACAGAGAGTCTGTACCAGCAAGGACCGTCTTTGGTAAGTGCCAGTCAGGACATGCATGCAAGGGTCTGGAGGGCTGTGACATTGCAAGTAGAATGAAAAAAATAATTATACCTTAACATCTGGACTTAGTCCAATGGATAGGTTCAAGGAGTTACTATTCTCATTACGACATAATTATAAAAATAAAAATCTTTCTTCAAATAGCAAGCTGTTTTAGTGCATGTTAATAGATAGGATTAAAGAACATTTGCTTTGATATTTTAGGAGAGAAATGGAATGAAGCACGCATAAAATGCATCCTGATGGATTAAAATATGCACAGAAATATCAATATTTAAATTATACATTTAGAATACATAATCATGTGTCAGTGTATTTTTTTTTGACAATCTGAGACGATATCAGCAGAATTACTTCCTGACATATATGAAAGCAGGGCTTTTCCTTATGTAGAAAAACTCATCCATGACCATCATACTGGTACCGGGGTATCTCATTTTACCAAATGTGTGCACTTCTGAAAAGTTACAAATTTTTTTTTCTATTAAAATGCTCTAAATGCCTTAGATACTTTAAGCCAATCTAATGGAAATTTGTTTAAAGGGGACTAACCTTTTGCTACTAGGAAACCTCACCCCCTAATTTTTTATTTTACAAGTTTATGTTTCATATAAAGAGATCTTTCCTGCCTGTATTGTAGTACACTGACTTAACTGTACTCTTCAGACTGATGAAAACCAAACACTTACTACATCATTCATTCATTCATTCAGTCAGTCAGTCACTGACTTTTTCTTTGAAATCTACTGTGAGGTCCTACTATGTGCCAGGCATGGGATGTGGCATAAACCTCTCCCCTCACGAAGATTATATTCTGGAGCTTCAGATTTGAATCACAATAAAATCAAGCAGAACATTTATTAAGGGCGTTTGTATCAGGCTCTGTTCAAGGAAGTAACCCTGTATCATCTTATATAATACTAAAAAGGCCTCTGTACTGTTAGTATCCCTGTGTTTAGACAAGAAAGCTAAGGAACAAGAGACTGGGTAACTTTCCCGAGGGCAGAAGCTATAGGTGAAGGAGTCTGGAGTAAGACTCAGCCTCTCAGCTCTGGAGTCTGTGGGTTTAATGATGACCATGTATCACACTATCAACCCTGCGGCCATGGCAAAGCATGGAAGGGGGTGACTGCGAGCAGCATCATCCATTTGTTAATAATAACCACATATTTAATTGGTGAAAGGTACAATTATCAAGGTTCATTCTGAAAACATCTTACTAGGCTCATGCTGTCCTTAAAACTCCTTACTATAAAACAAAAAAGCCTTAAGACCCTTGCAGTCTAAACTGAGGGTTATTATTCATGGGCAGAGACCCCTTTGGCATCACCTTTCAACAATATGCAAAGTATGAAAGATCAGTTATCTCAGAGGAAAACAATTCTGCTGCCAGTGCTCAGAAATGAGTCTTTTCTTCTGAACTTAATTAGCAAGGCGCTTCTGGGTTGCAAACCGCCAAATCTTTGCTGTGACATTAGCCGAAGAACACGGCTGAATCAAGAACAGTTCCAGCTGCAGAGCAAGAGGGCACTTCCTTCCAGACTTTCTGTTTTCCTTCCTCACAGTTTGTAAATATTAACCAGCGCTTATGGCGCCAATTAGAACTGAAGATTGAACTCCTGTCAGATGTTCACTTCTTCACGTATGTGTAGTTTGAGCCCTCTATTTACTAGAAATTTTTAAGAATTAAGAACACAGAAGAAGGGGGCAGGGTATACCTCAGTGGTAGAGCATGTGCTTAGCATGCACAAGGTCCTGGGTTCAATCCCCAGTGCCTCCATTAAAAAAATAATAATGATAAAATAAATAAATTAAGCTAATTTTCTCCCTCTAATATACAAAGTTTAAAAAAAAATTTAAAAAGAAAATATGTTTATGCTTTGTATTTTATTTTTGTAGAATGAGCCCAGACCTACAGTGAAAATGATTTTTTTTAAATGCTCACTTTTCACTACGCTATACACCAGAAATTAATACAACATTGTAAATCGACTATACTTCAATAAAAATAAATAAATATGTGCTGACTTTCCCTTCTCTGTCCCCAACAAATCCTATCTTTCCTTTTTTGGATATTCTCCAGATCACTTTGGAATGTTTTAGAAGTCAAAAACCTTGCTCTTAACATTTTCGACTATCTTCTGTCTCAGCCGACTCATGCCCTTTTGGTGAACATAGCTACATATCTGTAAACTCAACTGCAGGAAGTAGTTCCCTGTATCAAGTTATATATTTCTAATGTTTTAAGTTCAATAAAATCACAAATACAACTTTCCAAGACCTTCAGCCTCTTAACATTTATTTAGTACACATTTCTATTCTTTTCAGTCTGCATTCAGCACACTTCTCTGAGCTGTTAGGGATGCCTGAGAAGGTCATGGGGATTTAAAGAAAAAAATACCAAAAGGGGAAAAAAAACCCAAAGTTGTACCTTATAACAGTTTATTAAATAGCATCTGAAACGCAACAGAGCTGAAGCCATCTTAGGTCTTAAACGTCATCTTCTTGACCTTCCGGGCTCTCTCTCGTTTAGAGGCAGTGTGGTCATGCAATTTTGCTCCTGGAAAGACCCAAGTTTTGGGTTCATTCTTCATTTTTCTAAGTTTCAGCTGCCCATAAACTGAGAGTCCAATTAAAATAAAATAGTGCCATTTAAAAGACGAGGTGAGAAAATACAATAAAATATGTAATTGTCAGAGTCAGTATTTGGAATTCAATAGATTTTTAACACATTTTGGGGTTTTTTTCCCTTTCCTTATGGCAGGAATTGTAAGATCTCACACACACACACACACACACACACGACACACCTTTCTCTTTATGCTATTCTTCACTGTTTTTAATTTATGGATGCACTTTGTTTAAGAACACCCATTCCCAAATTACTTTTAACAGCTAGCTGCCTACATAAACCAAAATTTGGGTAAAAAAAAAAATGAAACTCACTTTAGCAAGGATTTATCAAAAAGGATTAAAGCTGTTCATAATAAGTTATTAACTATGCATTTAGTATCGGGCTAAGTGCTGAATACTTTATTATATTGTTTTATTTAATATTCACAATAGCCTTCTGACTTAGGCTTATTAAAATTAACTTATGCGGAAATAATTACAAAAAATTCAGAAGCTAAGAATTGTGAGGCAATTTTCCCAAAGTCATTCAGCAATTTAGAAAGCTGGTATTTGAAACTGGGTTGCTCTGGTCTCCAAATGCTGACATTTAATTATCTTGCTCTTTGCTCAAGTTATCATTGAAATGTAAATTTGGGGGCTATTTTCCAGCCAATATTTCCTAAACCATAGGTAACACGGATAATGCCCCAGGACTTTCTGTAACACCTCCAAAGTTCAGAGTCAGTCTATTCCCTACCACGGTGACCATGTATCAAAAATATGATTTAATACAAGTCTCAGTGTTTCTTCCTAATTCTATCACTTCCTAATGTAGTTACAAAGATCACCTACCTTGAGCTTCATGACAAACTAGGGAATATTGGATGGTTTAAAGCAGCTTAGCAAAGTTAGCCACCTACCAGCTGTGTGGTTGACTGATTCTCTAAAAATTAATCAAAAAGGGGGCATCATAGATCTAGTTCTAGACACATGGGATGACAATATCTTCTCCAGCAATAATTTGCTTATCATCTTTAAAATGCATTTCACTTATAATATTTAATCCTCAAATAATGTTGTGAATGACGGTGCAGAAATTTTCCTCCCTTAGAATTTCAGCCATGACATAGACAGTCAAGAGAGTGAATGTTACATCACCACTTTTACAGATACGGAGACTGAAGTCCCTGAAAGTTAACTTGCTTACTCGAGAACTAATAAGTAGGGAGGGACTAGTCATTGGAAGTAGTTATGATTTTTTTCTACACTAGGCAACCTGAGCCACTCTCACTGGGTTTCTGTGAATTGTTTTCCATGTATTTTCAAATGACTTCAAAGGAACTTACAATACTCTAACTGGTATATTAGGTTGATAATATTAATTTGTTAAATGAACATCAGTGGATATATCATTCATATACCAACTCAATTATTACACCAACCAATTATTTAAATAAACGAAAAGCAACTGACTTGAAAATTGCTTTGAATATAATCAGGTGATTTTAATCAGTAGGGATAGATTCGCAGAATAGAGAAGATGATGCAGCATTAACAGAAAGAGAAAGATTGCAAACATTTGAATCAGATAAATATGTTCAGATTCGGTTTTGCCGCTTCTGAGCTAATCGACCTCAAGCAAGTCATATGCAACTTATTTCAGGAATTTCTTATAAAAGAGTAGCTTTTTCAAGAATCAGGAACAAATCGTACAAAAGCCAAAGAGTTAACAATGTAACAAAATATTACCCAAAGATAATTTAATTATCTATCGTGATCAGTTATCAAGAAGTTATTGGTTTTGTGGTTCATACATTCCAGGTACACAGGTAGAATATTAAACAGAGCTGAGGATCCAGAGATTACGTGTGGATCAAGGACAGTGAAGATCTCTGCTTTGTATTTCAGAGAGTTGGGGACAGTGAAGGAATATTATTTCCTTTCTTATCCAGGACACTATGCTCAAGATGCCTATTTAAAAGAGTTTACTATCTTATTAACAGCTTCTCAATAGCAGGGCAGTTTTTCCCTCCAAAAGCTCCCCCTTAATCCTGTCATGAACTGCAAACTATAGTGGGGTTAAATTAAAACTCATCCATCCCAAACCAAAATGGAATGAACTGGAAAATAGACTCTGTCCATGGTACTGCTGGTTTTCCTTTGTACAAGTAGGCTGGCCTCCCTGATGACGCTACAAATTCACTTTCTTTCTTTACAGGAGTTACAACTGTGCTCACCATGACAACTCTGAGTATCAGCGCCAGGAACTCCCTCCCGAAGGTGGCTTACGCCACGGCTATGGACTGGTTTATCGCAGTGTGCTACGCCTTTGTATTCTCAGCTCTGATCGAGTTTGCCACAGTAAACTATTTCACCAAAAGAGGTTATGCGTGGGATGGCAAAAGTGTGGTTCCAGAAAAGGTAAATGCTTTACCATCCCTGTGATACATTACTGGTATATCTTTTTAAACCTATAAAATGGAATGTTTGGACTTGGGGGGAATGGATGAAGAATACAGAGAGGTTAAGGAGTTTGCTTTTTTCTTGCATCATGCATGATTAAGTGCTGTGAGAATTTCATTACTGCTAATGAGAGAGATCGTTTCAGTGGACAGATGTGCAGAGCAGAGGGAAGGAGATGAAGGAGAAACACAAAGGTAAACTTTTCTACTCAAATATGCTTTCCAGTGGTCTCTGTTGATGTGTGAACAGTTTTACCAAACCTTACATTAGGAGCAATTACACCATTATAATTTTTATAGCTTGAAAATCATAGTCTTTGGGTTGTTTTCTGAGCCTAATAAATTTGGTCATACATGTTATTACGTTAGTGCCTCAACTGAACAGAATTTTCAAAATGCATGATCTCTAGTTTTCACTAAAGACTGGGACACATACTGTCTTTTTCCAGTTTGCTTTAAGGATTAAAATGCACAGAAATCATAGGAAAATTCCTCGTCTTAGTTTAGAGTGGATTTTAAAGCACAGGTGGGGAGGATATTTCTATGTCTGAAGTTTGAAGGGAAAATATGTCAAAATACAAGTAAGCCTTGGACGGTGGGAAGAAGGGCAAAGTCAGAGAGATCTAGAAGACAGCTAGACATAATCTAAGAGGAATCACTCTACAGCAAACACAGAATACTAGTCTCTTGAGATGGTCCCTGAAAACACAGTTCTGTGGTCAAATACACCTGAATAATTCTGCATACTGTATCACAGAGTCACGGTATATTAAAAAGTCTGAGAAGGTCTATAGTAAAGAACCCCATTTAGTGATTATTTTCCCCTCACAGCTTCACAAATATACTACAAAAGAGGATCCTTGGTGGTGAAAACATCTACCACATTCAGTAGAACCTAAAATGTTACTGATTATAAGATGTACCGCTAGCGGGGAGGGTACAGCTCAGTGGTAAGAGTGCACGCTTAGCATGCACAAGGTCCTGGGTTCAATCCCCAATGCCTCCATTAAAAAAAATAAGTAAGTAAATAAATAAACCTAGTTACCCCCACCACCAAAAAAGATGTACCCCTAATACATGCATAAGTAAGAAAGAAAATATGCTGCCAAGTAAAAGCCCTGAGATTGACCTTTCAGACACAGAGGAATCAGTGGACCACCCCAGTGATCTCCTGCACAAGTGAAAACAAAGATGGTTCTGTACAGGAGGCCCTATTACAGCTAACATGGATGAGAACCGGCTCCTAAAAATTCACCTTGCCTTGAAATATCCTCGCACACCATAGAAAGTCTCTGAATTTTCAAATCAACGATCTTGGCTCAGGTTCAGTAGAGAGAAGAGAAAAGACAAAGGGACTGCTTTTACCAGCTGGAGAGAGGGATGAGGGAGCGAAGACAGAGTTTTGTCCAATATTTTACCTTTGCCATTGATGGACCTCCATTTGTTCTAGAACAGAAAAGGCAGCTTCAAAGGACAGAGCTCACCAGACCTGAAGATGAGTGAGCATAAGGCATGACCAATTGTAAGACAGAGCCCAAAGTCATAGATATGGACGCTTTAAAAGTGCACATCTTCGGGGGAGGGTA